TTTTGATTCTCATTTTATGTATATGACATGAGGCAAAGGGCCAAACTTCTTTTGGAATTACATATATGTCATGGATGTTAAATCTTGCCTTTGATGAGAGATTATGAAAAATCATGCATTTTAGTATGCTATTTTTGCATCGGAGTGTGCATTGTGTATGAAATTCATCCATTAGCATTCATTAATCATGTATGAAGTATGGCCAAGGGCCAAATGGCATTTTGAAACCACTTCATAATTTTGAGTTCCAAGTTTTCATTCTAAACTTCATTTTTGTCATTTTGGCCGTCGGAGGGTCGTATTTTGCATTGGCAATATTTTTAAGTCATGGACCATTGTAGCATATCCTATTAGATATGTTACATTTGCGTGCATGATTCTTTTTAAGAAAAACCTCATCCTTAGTGATTTGAGCTTCCTATGGACTCATTTTGCATTTTTATTGCATAATCCGGTTTAAGAGCATTTTAGGTATTTCACTTGAAAAATAAAAATTTCTCTTGACATGATCATGTAGAAAACATGATTTTAAGGGGGGTTTCTTCTTTGTGTTTTTCCAAAAACATTGTCTCGGACACAAAAACCCCATTTCAAATTCAATTTTTTGGTAGAAAAAAATTTCGCTTATTGTCAGCCTCATCTAATCAATTAGATGTAATCGATTAGATGGTCTTCTGCGTGATCATCTAATCGATTAGATGGTCCTAAGTTGCCTCTTTTGACCCTTTTTTCTTCATTTGATCATAACTTTGTCATCCGGACTCCGAATCAATTGATTCTTGAGTCTAAGTTCATTAATTTTTCATTGTCTTTCCGATGATGTGCTCGGTAGTACCCATTTTTACCTTGAAAATGACCATTTTTTCCCTATGTTCATTCTTGTCCGTTTTTGAAACGTTACTTCCGTAATTGTTTCCTTTGGGTTCCGTGACCTCATTGAGGGTCGCATTGATATCCTAGAGACGTGTTGTATCTCTAGAGACCGTTGTTTCACCTTTCGCTTCTGCATTTCGGATCCGTTATCGGGTCATCTTTTGGTCATCACTGACGCACCAGGTTTACAAAACTTGGGCCGTCACACGATTATTCCTTTCTTTCCATATAAAATATACTATAGTAGAGAAGCATAATTTGACTGTGAAGGCCTCAATCGATTTACATTCAGCATTCCAAATTGTTCTAATCCATTGTCCCATGAAGAGGAAGCTTCGATCACCACAATACACACCATACTTATGCTGAACATAATCCCAAATAGAAGAGGAAAACCTGTATTTAAAGAATAAGTGTTCATGGGTCTCCATCTCTTCCATACATAGAGAGCAGAGGTTATGGTTATCTGATGTCAACCAGAAGCTCCTATCTCTAGTATAGAGTCTGCAGTTTAAAGCAAGCCATGTAATGAAGGCATGCCTAGGGATAAATTTGGGAAACCAGATAATATGGTTCCACCTAGAAATAAGAGCTGGTGGTAGGAAGGCATTGTAGGTGTGTTTCAAATTGAACCCCCCTGTAGGAGAGAGAGTCCACACTGCCCTATCCTTTTTGCCACCATTAATAGGGGGAATGGTTTCATTAGCACCAATAATAGTCCTGAAGTGGTTTGGGATTCCCCATTGCCCATGCCTGATCAAATAGCTGACCTTGGATTTATTATCCCAAAGGTGATTAGAGATGGTTGCAAAATCCACTCTATTCTCAATAGGTCCTGAGGGGAGCCAGTAATCAAACCATAGGGAAGTGTCCATGCCATCCCCTACATGGTGTTTGATAAAAGACCTAGCCATGCCCCTAAGCTTGAGCAACCTTTTCCAGTTACAAGAGCTAAGTTAGCTTGCCCTAATTTTCCAAGAGCTACCATCCTTGATTAAGTTAGAGTGGACCCAATCATACCAAAGGGATTGGCCATTATCACAAAACAGATTCCAAATGTGTTTGAGAATTGAGATCCTATTAAAGGCAGCAATATTAGGAAGGCCAAGACCACCATAGTTTTTAGGCTTGCACATTGCATACCAGTTAATCTTTACTTCAGTGTCCTTCATCTCCAGGCAAGTCTAAAGGAAGTTCTTTAAAACATAATTGATTTGCTTAGTCACCTGAAGAGGAAGCACAAAGATGTTACCCCAATAAGCATAGATGTTGATGAGAATTAATCAAATAAGTTGTAATCTTCCTACATAAGAAAGAAATTTGGAGGTCAACTGGAGATTCTAGAAGTGATCCTCTCAACTAAGATTCTATAATCAATAGCAAGAAGCCTAGTTGCAGAGAGGGGAACACCAAGATATCTAAAAAGGAAGTGCCCAATCTCGAACCAGAAGCTGTGATCATACCACTCACTGTCTCCAAAGGTATGCCAGCTGTAAAAATGTTGCTCTTGTTCAGGTTAGGCTTGAGACCAGATAGACTAGAGAACTTATGAATACTATTAAGTAGAATCTCAAAGGAGTGTGGGTCTCCATTACAGAAAAGCATAAGATCATCAGTAAAACATAAGTGAAAAATATTGTTACTTTTACATCTCCAATGGTACTTGAATTAGGGGTCCTCAGCAATGGCTTTGTTGATAACAGATGAGAGGACATCCATCACAATCACAACAAGGAAGGGTGATAGTGGATCCCCTTGTCTAAGGCCCTTAGAACCTTTAAAGAAACCATCAAGTTCCCCATTGATGGAAACTAAGAAAGTAGTGGAAGTGATGTAGGCATAAACCCGCTGAATGAAATCTGGTGGAAAACATAGAATCCTTAGGCAATCAATTAAGAACTCCCAACAAACAGTGTCATAAGCCTTATGAAGGTCAATCTTAAGAGTATACTTAGGAGTAGAGGTATTGGAGTTATACCCCTTCATGAGTTCCTGGACAATAAAAACTCCATCTCCAATCCTCCTATGCTTTATAAAAACTATTTGGTATTTACCAACAATGTGGGGAAGAATAAGTTGTAACTTTTTTGCAATAATCTTTGAGATGACCTTATATATGGTGTTACAACAATAGATTGGTCTAAAGTCCTGCATGGAGGTTGGGTTAGGAATCTTAGGCACCAAAGTGATACAAGTAGAATTGATCTCCCTTAGAAGTTGCCCATTCACAAAAAAATCCCTAATAGCCAAGGAAATGTCATTGCTAATCACAGGCCAGGCTTTCTTGAAGAAAAGGGCATTATACCCATCAGAACTAGGAGTTTTTTTATTACTTAGAGCAAAGAAACACTCTCTAATTTCCTCAAGGGAAGGAATACCAGTGAGAGTATCAATGATATTTGTAGGTAAAGCCTTGTTAAACACCTCTCTGAGATTGTCAATGCCTGGATAAGTGTGGGTTTGGCCTCCAAGAATATTCTGGAAATGGTTGACAACCTCACTCTTGATAGCTGGTAGAGACTCAGTGGTTTCCCCATTTGCCAATTGGAGCTTTGCAATCTTCTTCCTATTGCATCTGGCATTGAATGATCTCATAAAGTAACTTGTGTTTTTAACCCCTCCTCAAGCCATTTAATCCTAGATTTCTGCAGGAAGAATTGTCCTTCAGCCAGTGAAAGGTCATGAAACTTTTAAAAGAGAGCTTTTTCATCAGTCCTAAGTTGCACATTTGTAGGATTAGCGTTAAAAAGAACTTGGCAAGTCTTGAGATTCTCTCTAGCTTTAGCAACTTTAATGGAAATCTCACTGTAGTGCTTTCTGTTCAAAGCCTTCAGCTTGTGTTTAAGAATTTTTAGCTTCCTAACCACCTGGAACATAGGAGTAACCTGAACATCCATCTCACACACACTAGCCATAGTTGTAAGGAAGTCATCATAGTTCCTAATAAAGTTGAAAAATCTAAATGCATGGAATTCTCTTCTTGGTAGTGTACACCCCAGTGTTGATAACCATGGGAGAGTGGTCAGAAATCCCTTGGGGCAAGAACTCACAAGTGGAAAATTGAATCTCAGATAGCCATCTGTCATTGACAAGAACCCTATCTAGCTTTCTAGATATATTAGCATCACCTAGACTTTTATTGGTCCAGGTAAGAAAAATACTACAGTAGTTAAGCTCAGTCAATTCAGCCAAGTTAATACAGTTATTAAAATCTATAATACCTGAGTTCCACCTGCTAGAACCACCCACATTCTCATTAGGGTGCCTGATAATATTAAAATCACCAAGGAGTGCCCATGGAGAATGGGAGAAGCTTGTTGCTTGAGCTGTAATGTTACTCCACAAACATTCTCTTAGAGTAGCAGAGTTGTAAGCATAGATTGCAGAGACAAAGAAGTGGTGTTGGTCCTCTAATGTTGTAACACTGCAATGGATAACCTGGGCAGTAGAAGATAGCATGTGGACCTTAAGGATGTTGGGGTTAAAGAGAATCCATATTCTCCCCAAAGTGGAGTATGAATAATTGTGAATGAGCTTCCAAGAGGGAGCAATGGCTCTGTGGATAGGGCTAATGTTTGCTTCCTGAATTTTTGTTTCAAGAATGGCAATCAAATGAAGCTTAGAGTCCTTAATACACTACCTTATTTCTTTTTGTCTTTCAGGGGAATTGAGACCCCTGATATTCCAAGCTGCAATAAACATTAAACTAGGGTATTGAGGATCAACCTTGGAAAGCCCAACACAGGTAGACATGGGCCATCTTCACCCTTATTTTTCTTATTTTTCTTCTTCTTCCCTTTGCTATCAATGGCATCAGTGTCAAAAGTCACCTCACACCCAGTAGTGCTTGTGGAAGACTCAAGTGAGGAACATCCATGGAGATCCTTATTACCATTGGGGGAGCATTTAGCTTTTGACCCTGTAGCAATATTTCCTTCCACCTCATCTGTTGCACAAGTGGATAGGATGGGGATAGGTGCTGCAAATCCCTCTACAACAGGTTTATCAAGACTTTGTTTAGGGTTTGTGCAATTTTTGGTTAAAATATTCTTTTCCTCAGTGTAGTGAGGAATATTCATGGAACACCCACTCTTCCCTTTCTCAGCAGTGCAGTTAGCTTCCTTTTCCTAGCCAATAGTAGCTGCCATTGCAGTACCTACATTACTAGCAGGAGTTGCTGTTACCTTGGTAGTGGTAAAATCTTTATCTTCCTGCACAATAGGTCCTTCCATGGTCACAGGAGCCTCAATATTCACCAACTTGGTTATAATTTTCTTGACAGGGCATCTGGAGTCAAGGTGGCCAAAGCACTGACATGAAGAGCACACCATAGGCTTCCATTGGAACTCAACCTTGATGTCAATCCATACCCCATCCTCAGCTTCAAGCAAGAAATCCTCAATAAAGGGTTTTGTGGCATCCACCTCCACACACAGCCTTGCGTAGCTTAATCTCTTCTTGGTTTCAATGAGTTTATTAGCAAATAAAGGTCTCCCCACAGCACTGATAACATAACTGAAGCCCTTTGCTGTCCAAAACTCAAATAGAATATTATAGAACTTGATCCATAGGGGAATGAATCTATAGGAATCCTGATTGAGTACCATGCCTTTCTTCCATTTTTTCAAAAACATAGGTTTCCCCATGACCATGCAAGGGCCATTGGCCAAGATGTTATTACACTCCATTTCCGAGGCAAACTTGAAAATAAAGAACCCCTTGTCATCAGCCAAAACCTCAGTCAGTCCTTGGTGTTGCCACATCTTTGTAACTGAGTCTTTCACAAACGAGAAGGGGAGTTTCTTTTGGATAAAGTACCTAATAAGACAGCTTTCCCATTCGTTTGATCCCTCCTCTGCAATGCATTTTGGGGGTGAGAAGTAAGAGTTGTAAGATAAAAGAAGAAGAAAAGAGAAAAGGAAGCGAGAGTAGTTCATCAATAGAGTTGTAAGGCAAAAGGAGGGGAGAAGAAAGAAGGAAGCATAGTGTAAGGAGAAAATGGCAATCTAGTCATTTTGTCTTTTAAAATAAAGAGTTGAAGAGGTGGAGGAAGTTGAAGCACCAAAATCACCTTGCTTACTTATTTATTTATTTATTACTATTAATATTTTGAATTTTTTTTTTTTTTTTTTTTTTTTTATCATTTTGACATTACAAAGCTGAGAAAGCTAAGAAGAAAAAAGATCAGGCCTAGGTCACAGTGAAAGATAATTTCATATTAGATTAATGTTTCAAATTCATTTTAGGATTAAGTGCAAAAAAATTATATAAAAAATATACAAAAAAAAAAAAAAAAAAAAAAAAAAAAAACGCGTTACTAAAAATTAAGTGGATATAAATTTTATATTATCAATCTCTGGAGCAAATTGCATAAATTGAGTTCATTCTTCTATAAAAATCCAAAAGTGCCCTTTTGAGTGACAAAAATGCCCTTACAAATTTCCCCTTTCTCCATCTTCTTTCACATGTCACTTCATCTATCTATATCAAGTCTTCATTCTTTCCCAGCCATTAAATCCGGCCACCAAACACCACCCAAAAAAAATGCATGTGATCCATCAATTAAAGATTCTGAAATTCTTAAAATTCTTAATTAATTTTAGTTATTATGTGATCCATCACCATCTCCACTGTGTGTTCCTATCGCCATCGTTTTGGAATTTCTCTTACATCCATGTGGGTCTGTTGATTGTTAGTGTTAGCTTTAGTTGTCTGCCTTTCTTGAAATGTGCATACATGAAACTTTCATGCTACATCCCTAACCTTTTCCCAGTACTACACCAACCTTAGCACTCAAACCCCGCCAATGACGGCTTCCTCACAAAACCCACTGCTACAGCCGTTGGAATCTCACCACGCTGGAATCGTGTCATCATCACCACCATGCTGGAATCTCACCCGCCAGAATTTTCTACAGCCGTTGATTTTCTTTCGTCAGCATCGACTGTCGGATCTTCTTCGTTGGAGCCTCTTCTCGCCGTCGGAACATCTGTTGGCCGTCGCCCTCGTCGGAACTTCCGGTCATCATCAGAACTCTGCCCGTCGGTTCCCGTAGCCACTTTAGTCTCTCGGTCCTCACAGCCGATGCAAAAGGGCACTCAATTTTTTTCTCCTCTCTATATATATCTATATAGATACATATAGTGTAATGATTAATAAAGAGATGGGCTATTATCATCGTTTTCCTCTCAGTGTAGAGGTTCCTGTTGACGAATTCTACCGTGGTTCGGTGTTCTTTGGGATGGCTTCTTTTTCCTCCCATGCTCTTCGTGCTTCTGGTGTGATCATGGTGTTTCTTCAAAGTTTTTGGAGATTTGGCACTGTTTTGGAGGAGGGCATACCAAATACCGTTTTGATCCTGGTATTGATCAGACCGCATGTTCTCTTACAATCGGTGGGTTCGATCCGATTCACTCTTTTCAGTGTTCTATCACCTTGGTGGTTGTCCGTCGGGTTCAACCATGTTCATGCCTTCTCACTACACCGGTTCATCACTTGCCTCCATGGTGGTGCTAGGTGGCATCACTTCTGGTATGAGGTTGTGTGTCCAGAAATATTTTGGTCCGGCGGCACATCGGCCTATCATTGGTGTTTTGGTGGCTAGTCCGGGTCGCCGGTGTCGGGATTGGTCGGCGAAATCACTTCTTCCTACTTTTTCATTGCCGGCGTTCATGGGTCTTTCTCAGTTGCAGGAGATTATGGGTCCTTCTCGGTTACCGGCGATGTAAGGTCCTTCTGGATATCTTCGTACTATAATTGGCTGTCAGAATGCCAATCAAAAGACCACACTCATGGTGGCTCTGTTGCCTCAACATGGTGGACACATCACACGTCATTTTCTGACAATTAAAAGTCCACAGTATGATGGCTCTGTTGCCTCAGCATGGTGGACCCGTCACACGTCATTTTGGGGTTTTGTTTTCCGTCGTGGGCCTATGGGTGGCTTACCTCATATCCTCAAAAACTAGTTGGAGGTGTTCAGACGGTTGTTTTACTGGTGCCCATGCAATTTGTGGATGTGTGCTTTGTTTTTCGCCAGATCCATTTTTTTGTTTTTATTGTGGGCCGTCCATCTGTCATTTCCCTTGCCCTCATGGTTGTTGGGCTTCCTTTGCGTGTTGGCCAAGATGGAATTGGTAGTTTGGGCCTTGGTGAAGATCCTTGTTGTCGGCGTGTGCAGTACCAATTGGGCCTTTTTGGTTGTGGTTTAGCCTAAGCCAGTGTGTGGGTCTGTTCAATGCAACTGATGTTCAGCTATGTGCCGTTTTAAGGCTATCTTTGTGGTTTTTTTTGTTTTGTTGGGTTGTTCAGTTTGGATGCTTTGGTTGTGATTTCTGTTTTGTTGTTCTCTTTCTTATAGATGCCCGTAAGGCTTCTATTATCAGGAAAAATAAAAAATAAAAAAATAGTTATATATAGTTGATAAAAAAATTGTAAGAATAGATTTGATGTTCAACTTCTTTTAGCAAAATAAAACGATCATTTTGTTTCTTCTGACTTTTTTATTTTTATGTAAAGGTATATTAGACATTTCATTTGTTAAATTGGAGAATTGTCCTTATTTGTTCAATTTAAATAATGTAGGAGTGTTATTTGAACACGAAAGGCTATTTACACATTCCGCATATAACAAGGAGTTTTTTTTGCACTTAACCTTTTCCGAAAAAAAAATTATTAATATTATATTAATATGAAAAAGCCTAATTAAGTGATTTTGCTTTAGGCATTGAACAACATCAATCCCGCCCTAAAAGAATACTTATTTATTTGGTACCTTGAAACATTATGATGATTGTAGTTTTCTGGTTAAGAATTAATTGAGAGAAAGGGAAAGGAAGCGTTCTAAGGCATGCCACATTAACTCTGGTAAAAGTAAATTCGCAGTAATCGAGGCTAAAACCATAATTTAAATTTATTCATGAAGAACACTACAGATCATTCAACAATGTAAAATTCAGCTCTGCGGTGGCAAATCAACTTCAGCTTTTGTATAATAATCGCAACAACACTTGTGTTTATCGAGACATCGAGATTAATATGAACAGAAATTCCTTCATTTGAAATCCTTCAATCAAGACTAATATAGTGTTTTGCATAGTACTATTCTCTTTGATTCCCAGACTAATCGAGGAACCGGCACCCTTTGTTGAACGTGTACATGTTGATCAATCGAACTCACATTAACGCTAGTTTGTTTCTTGTACTCTTCATAGGTTTTACTTCAGATTTCTAACATATGTGTTTAGAGAAAGCTAAAATGAAGTCTACTCTTGCCATCGCTCAATGCTTGCAGAAAACTGGCAACAATACTTGTTATTTTTATTGCAATTGGAGGTCAGACTTTGCCCTGTGCTGCTGTATGGTACTTTTCTTAATTGTTTTGATTTGATTTGAATGTGATATGGACGGTCTTGATTTAGTGCTAAACATCACCATAAGCCTAATTGTATGAACAAGACTTAATGGAAATGAAACATGTATCTAAGTCACACAATCCTTCTTAACAAGTATCGCTCTCACATTACTAGCGCGCTCCCGCTCTTACACTTTGCGAGCGTTCCCATTCAAATTCTCACTATTTATGACTTAATTCTGCCGTTCTCGCGCTCTCGCTCTCGAATTCACTTTCGTTTCTGCTTCCGCTTTATGTGACTTAGGCCTGTACCTACTTTGTGGCATTTTTTGTTGTCCCATTTCACACATTTTTCAAAAGCAAAATAAGTAAGGTTAAGTGCAAAAAACTCCCCTAAACTTTTGCCCTTTTGCAAATAACCCCCTGAACTAAAAATCACCCCCTAAACTATTGATTTGTTACAATTAAGGACAAATCCATCACAAAAGACTATTTTACCCTTTCTCATTAAAATTTTCACTTCTTATTAAATTATTTTTATTATCATTTCTCTTATGTAAATATTAATTAATTTAATTATACTATTTAACTTAATTTTATTTTTAGTATCAATTAATCATAAAAATTTTAAAAAAATAGATAAATGAATTTGTAACTACCATTTTCTAAATTGATTAACTTATTATTAAAACTTTATTATTTATAATAAAACGTATCATAACCAATTTAAACATTTTTATCGTAAAAATAAAAATATCATCTTTTTCATACAATATATTGATAAAAAATTAATATAATACTTTTGAAAAAAAATACCTTCTTTTCATGTTATATATTCATTAAAAATAAAAAAATTAATTAATTTTTTAAAAATATTTCTACTAATTTATTTATTTAAATAATTAATTAAGAAAATTAAAGGGAAATTTATGCAAATTTAATGGAAAATATCTCTTCAAATTAGTATGAATTTTTTCATAATTTATTTTGATAAGAAAAATATATTAAATGTAATTCAATAAGAAGAGTCATTATGGTCATTTAATGAAATATAGTATAGTCCTTAGGATATACTGCAACAAAATGAGATAATTTAGGAAGCTTTATACACAAATTATAGTTCAAGGGGTGATTTTTTTGCACTTTAGACAAATAAGTATTAAGAGTGCTTGGTTGCCCTCTTCACAGAATTTTATTTTATTTTATTTATTTATTATTTATTATTTATTTATTTTTCCAGATGTCTGGGCTAGTAAAATGGAATTAAAGTATAAGGGTTTTCTGTAATACCCCTAATTTTACAAAAGGATAGTCTTGGAATTTCACTAATTATTTAGTTAAATTTGGAATTTCATTAATTATTTAGTTAAATTTGGAATTTCATTAATTATTTAGTTAAATTTTTTAATG